GCTACGGCTACCCCTGCAGTCTTACGACACTTTCCATGCTATCTAGCTGTTAGTGAATGCTACGGCTACCCCCATAGTCCTACAACACTTTCCAAACCGAGTCGAACACGCACTCGACCTAACACTCAACTGAACTTGAGTCCTAACTGGAGCTCTAACCTGATTCCTGAAACCTACTATCACGTGACCCCATTGTATCAGTACCGCACCCATGCCCGTGATCAAAGCGTCACAGTAACCACGGACGCATCTACACCCTCTAGCAAGGTGAGAATCGGTACCTCGCACAACCGCTGTCTGAGAGTCTCGAAGGCTGCCTGCTGCTTAGGCTCCCAGCAAATGTCCACCGATTTCTTGGTCAGTCGGGTCAAAGGAACCGCAATCTCGGAGAAGTCCCGCATAAATCTCCGGTAATAACCTGCTAGACCGAGGAAACTCCGAATCTCAGATGGGCACCTCGGAATCTCCTACTGCATCACGGCCTCTATCTTGGCCGGATCGACTAGAATACCCTTCTGGTTGACAAGGTGCCCAAGAGATTGCACCCCGCGCAACCAGAACTCACATTTGGAGGACTTTATAAAAAGTATCTCCCCCACTTAGATACAACTAAGCCTTCACGGCACGCGAGAATTGAAGGATTCCCAGTCCTTCTCGCTTTCTAGTATCCCACTGATGACAACCTGTGCTTACCAATGCTAGAGATTAATCACCGGTTAAACCTTAAGATCGCCCATACTCGGAAATCTTGATGAGTACTCTTGAAATCTAGTCCAGTCTTACACCTCAATCCACCTCCCATGCTGACAACTAGAGGCTCTAATCTTCACTCTGGCTGACGAGTCCTTGTTCCCACTTCCAATCTCGCAGCACCACGGAACTCTATCCGTACACAGCCCATGCAAAAATACAATTTTCTTGAACATCCGATGACCAACCACTTATGCATCTAACACCCGCAACTGACATAACCATCTTCGTGCTACTAATCCGATCTTAGCATAGTAGTGCCTTGAACTCCAAAGTTCATCCATAGACAAATTCGACCATATACGAACAAATGATAGAATCACTGAACTCTGACTTCACTGGAGAACTATCGCTCTAATCTTGACCCAATATTCTCTGAATAATACTCCAGCACAGATCTCGACAAAGATCCGGGATGAGAATGGTACACGCGGAATCCACTCCGCAAGATACATCCCTCTGTAGGTTCAGCAAGGACTTCCGGCATGCAGATTGGCATATGAGAATCCTTGATAACCCAGACAGTAGCAGAAACCGACCTAGTATGTGACTTGTCCAAACTCACTGAAATTCTGAAGCGGTACAGATTCCCCATATCCACTTGAAGTGGCAAATAATGACATACCCGCAACATCTGGAGGAATACTGATCACCTTCAACTGTCATGATCAACCCTGCCACACCCGTAGCAGCGTAAACCCTTGGAGTTACAAACTCCCTCGTGCACTTTCTCGTATACGTTGCACTGTCTTTGGCCCTGCTGGCCTTTCACCCGATGATCAGATATCATGGGTCTCTTCCCGAGACCCTATACTATACTCACCTAGCACGAACCTCTCTTCTCAAAGTGCTCCAAATCGATCTCGCATCTGCAACCTCTTGGAAATCATGTCCTTCAGGGTCTGACACCCTGTCACGCTCACTAGCTCACTTTCCCAAGGCTAAGCTGCAACAACTGGAACATCCTCTGTCCCCAAACTGGGTCACAAACTTCTCCCTGAAGCTTCTCAGATTCTCCAAGACTCTCACTGATTCAAGTATGGATCCCGTGCTTTCAGTAGTACGGGCCTAATACTACCTTCCAAACCTATCCATATTTTCCTCAGCAATCCTCCCGGATCCTCCAAGTCACTTCCTCAACTGGTACACCCAAATCTCACTGAGCCTCACTACTAACCCACTAAAACATATCCTAGGATTTCCTAGGTTCCCAACTCACCCAATCCTCAGCTGCTGAAAGATTCCCAGTAATATCAACTAGCTATCTCGTGAATATAGCCACATGCAAAAGAGATCAGATAATCCTTCGAGTAAAAGACTCATCCCTAGAACGGTTGGACTCAGACAAGAGCTGCGCAATAGGGTCAAGTCTATCACTCTGAGATTATCTGGCCTGTGTTCCATGTGACTTAGCATATTCACTTAATAGTTAGCTCACATTGCTAAGAGTCCCACAAAGCACAAAGAAAGCAGCATTCAGACAATGGAAAATCTAACCATCGTATTCCAAACAAATCATCCTATCCTCTTATCACGAATCTACACCAGCATGTAGTTTCAAAGGCTCATACAATCAGGCATAACCTAAACAGGCTATCCTATCACTGACTGATCAGTACTATCATGCAAATCAGCAAGCACATAGAGCAGGCACATAAGGCATCTTCCTAGATCCTTAGCCCTAATCTAGCAGGCAATTCTCATAATCATATCATAACATAACATATCATAACATGTATGGGTATCTTGGGGAAAACTTACTTGAGCTCGGCTGATTGCACGCATCACACACCTTGTTCTTTTCAAAGTTCTTTTCTCTTTTCAAATTCTTTTTATAAAAGGGTTTTACTTTTGAAAATTTTCATACCAAGTACTTAGTTTGAGTTCAGACACACCCGGGAGTGTGCCCGAATCCCTCAAACCAAGGCTCTGATACCAACTTGTAACATCCCAAAATTCAAGACCAAAAAAATTTTGTTTTAATTAAGTTATTACATAAAACCATCAGTATAAAAACATTCATAATAATATCTCATGTAAAAAACCAAAGTAGAAATAATCAAGACATGTTATCATAAAACAATATCAGAGTGTAATCCCAAAGATCTCATGTGCGGAAAACCATAGTGTGATGCTTTGCGATCAAGCCGGCTCCTTTCCTTTGAAAACGAGTACCTGAAACCAAAATTTTAAACTGTAAGCACGAAGCTTAGTGAGTTCCCCCATCATACCACATACCATACTACTAACATACTGTCAGGCATATCTGGGTGCCCGACCTACCCCTTCGGTAACTTTCAACCGGTAACCACCTAGCATATCTGGGTGCTGGCCTCCCCTTCGATCTCTTTCAAACGGTAACCGCCTAGAATATCTGGGTGCTGGCCTCCCCTTCGGTCTCTTTCAACCGGTAACCGGGAGCTAACCTCCCCTTCGGTATCTTTCAACCGATAACCGGGGACTATTTCACCCCTACCACTACCACATAATAACATAGCATAACATACATGAATATATTGTCAGGCATATCTGGGTGCCCGACCTACCCCTTCGGTATCTTTCAACCGGTATCCGGGGACTATTTCACCCCCTACTACTACCACATAATAACATATCATGATCATACTCATAGGCATGCATGGGTACTATCTACCCCTTCAGTATCTTTCAACCGGTAACTAGGGGGCCATATCACCCCTACCATTACTAACACATATGTCATAGCATCCTAGCACATAAAGCATATCAGATAACAACAACATCAGATAATTATCACAAAGACAATCATCTAACAAACAATTCCTACTAGTGGGCCGGGCATTGTGGCCGTAGACCCACTCCTACTGAAAGGTAACTCACCTCACACTGCTGAAGTCCCATAGACACAATCTCAGCTGCTAGATGACAGAATCCCGATCTGTCAATATCAAAACATCACCCAATTAATAATTGGGTCCCAACACATAACCATAAGTACATTCTTTGGATAATTACTACATTACCCCAAGCTTGGCTTATTCAAGCCCAAGGCCCAATCCATAGGCCCAAAGTCAATTAGGAATCAAAGCCCAACACATGGCCCAATTTTCCAAATTGGGCCCAGGCCAATACATGGTCTTATTCTAAGGCCCAACATCATATAATCATTAAGGCCCAAACTATGGCCCATCTATGGCCCAATTTTCCAAATTAGGCCCAAAGCCCTTACACGGGCCTTACCCAAGGCCCATTAAATTATTCTAGTCCAATTGCTTGACTTTGGATGGCCCATTAATAACCCAATCATCAAGGCCCAACAAAGAGGCCCAACAATAAACCCTAGTGAAATTTGGGTTTCACATAAAATGACGATTAGGGTTAAGTGTTTCTCACTTAACCCATTAAGGACTTAATCCATTAAGTCCAATATTGCTTAGATTAATCTTTGCAAATGATTATTATTAAATATCTCAAGTTATTAAATAATTCTCGTGTGCCCCGGTTAATTCCCCAAATTAGGGTTTTATTGGCATTAGGGTTTTCCAAACCCTAATTACGGTGTCCAATCCAAATATTAGCCCATTTATCAATTTGTTGGGCTTTTAGGTCAATTAGGGCTTTATTGGGCCTATTAGGCCCACTAGAATATCATTAAGCCCATTAGGGTTTTATTTGGGTCAATTAGGGCCCATTAGAGATTACAAGGCGCATTAGGGTTTCAAGCACCCTAAACGAATCGAACTCAACGAGGCAAGAACACCGCCACCCGACACGGCGGCCGGTGGCGGCAGGAGGCGGCAGCCACCACCTCACGGTGGTGGTTATAGTTTTCTATTATTATTTCGGGCATCATTACACTTTACAACTCAATAACACACACTCACACATACTAATATAAACATACAGACAGACACACAACCACCTTGTGGTGGCCGGTGGTGGTGGTTCTCGGTTTTTCCGGCCAAGCTACACTATACACACAAATATCCACCAAGGAAACAGAAGCACACCTATACATACTTCCGGTTGAATCACCCAGCCACCCTCCTGGTGACATACGGCGGCAGCAGCGGCCGTTTCACGGTGACAGCCACCATGGCCGGCTGCCATGGTGGTTCTCGCGACCCTAACTCGACAGAACTCCCCCACAGCGCGTTCACGTCGCAAACACAAGCCCTGACCCATGCCCTTATTCTCCGGTGATAGCAGGAACGCCACGAGCTCCCCCACCCACGAGGCGGCAGGCGACGGGGTAAATAGAAAAGAATAAGATGAATAGCGATCTGGACAGCTACAACAGCCATGGTGGTCGATTTGAGTCCTCATCCACAGTGGCGGCACCGGCGGAACAAGATTGCGACCTCGCCGATCTTCACACCACCAGCGGCGGTAGCTTGGCAGGGCTCGCGATTCCGACCATGGCTCGGAGGCGATTTGATCGGTCTTCAGCAAGTCACAGGTTCGTCGGCACTCTTCGGGGAAGCATCTCCGGTGGTAGCAGCGGCATCACGGCGGCTAGAAGGTGGCGGCCGAGAGCTTGGAGGCTGGAAGCGAGAGGTGCAAGTGGCGACTAGACATAAAGATGCTAGGGTTAGGTCTTCACCGGGGTGACGGGTTTAAATACCCCGATCCCCATAACTAGTTTTTCATAATGCCAAAAGTGGTCCCTCCCTTCCCCATTCCTTTCAAAATAAACCCGATAATTACCATTTGGACCCTTAGCCTTAAAATCCTTACAACTTAGGTATAAAAAGTTATCAAACAGCCCCCAATATCTTAATTATCACATATTCTGCCCTTCCACCTCATTTCTTCTTAATTTAAATCCAAATAATTACCATGGAGCCCCTGTCTTCATAAATATTTATAAATTGAGTCTGAAACTTACACTTTTAACCCCCGACTTCTAAAATTGTGACAATTAGCTCTTCGAGACCATTCTTTTATTTATTATTATCTATTTTAGGGCTACTATTCGTTCATTAATTTATTTATTTATCTAATAAATAAACAGGGTGTTACATTAGGCTCAGAAGTACCTAAAACAAATCATTAAACTGTAAGCTAATGCTTAGTGAGTTCCCCAGAGCATACCCCACACAATCCACATAATCACATAATCCATATTAGCTATAAAATCTACATAAACCACAAAAGCCATGTATACAAACATATAAGGATGCCATGGGCTCCTCCCAGGGTCTTACTCCTGGATATCATGGGCTCCCCCACATGGTCTCTATCTGGATGATGATATTGCACAGAGATATATCCCAAGGATTAGGGATGATGTGTATATTTGTGAGCCGAATATGATTTTTGGTTGGTTGCATGGTCATTTGGTGGTAGTAGAACCCAAGTGGGGGAGAGTTGGATGATATGTTTAAAGGAGCAATGACTCGTTTAAGTTTTGATTTCAGAAGAATGAGTCATAGGCAATTGTGGTTCATATATACGAAACTTGGGATTCAGGATTTAGGTAAGACATGAGTGCAGAGCCAGTTGCTATTAGATTTATGTAGACAAAAACCCAAGAGTCATTTTCGTGGCATGAAGTTATTGGACAAGGGGGCTCGTTGTAGCCAGTGGCTCCTTGCAGATGCATCAAGGAATTGATTAAGAGTCATTGGGTCGCTCAGGTTGAGTGTCGTTATTGAGAGATATATTAACTTGTTGTATAGTTTGATATCTACAGTCTAGGATGGGCAATTTTTGATCGGTTGATTAGTTTCAGAGTTTGGTATATTTAGTGTCACATGGGCTTATTTAGTAGTATATCGTGTCATGGGATTCATCTCCTATACATCTTCGATCATTAGTCATGTTGTTCATCATCTATACGGCGGAGGTTCCTCGAAAGTTCGAGTTGCGCCAGTTGAAGTTCAATGGATGTGTAACATCCAAATTTCCAGGTATCATAAATTGAGTATTTATTTTGAGTCAAGGAGAGGGACTTGACGAGTTGACGCCTAAACTCGTCGAGTAGGATCGTGACTGCTGACTAGGATTAATGAATGGACTCGACGAGTCGGAGAGTCGACTCGACGAGTCCGCGCTGTGGACAGAAACCCTAAATCTTTGGGTATGTGCCCTATTCAAGGGTCCTTATGGCCTTCATTGGCGGCCACCCTCACCCTTGAGAGATCCCTACGAACCAGAGAGCATAGAGAGTGAGAGAAGAGCGATCTTGAGCTTTATTGGTGTGATTTTGCAAAGGAAAAGAAGGGTTTCAGCAAGAAGGACCAAAGGAGGTTGTCATTCTGAGGTTTTGGAGCAAGGAGCTTCACCTTTAGGTAACAAATCGGCCCTCTCTTTCTGTATGGTGTAGATTGCATGAATCTAGGGTTTCTTGACCCTTGTCTTCAAAGGATTTTGGAGTATATGAAGTCCCATTGTGGAATAAGCATTAGATATGGACCTTAAGAGGTCCAGAGAGTCCCAACCTTCCAGCTTTATGCAGTCCCTTTGGAGTTGTGGACCATGGTTGCCATTTTAGGAGCTATTTCATCAAATAAGGGCATATGAGTGTTGCATGAGCTTAAAGATTGAACCTTTACGTAATTTTTGGGTGTTAGGAGGTCAGATCTATAAGTTAGAGAAGCAGATCTGACCTCAGGAGGTCATTTGAGTGTTGTCATGGAGGGAACTCGCCGAGTTCATAAGGGGACTCGACGAGTCGAGTCGGGTTGCCCCGCGATTCGTGACCAGTGGTAACCCGTCGAGTGAAAGGCTAACTCGACGAGTGGAGTGAGGCCTTAGGAGAATTCTGAGAACACGCATGGACACGCCGAGTCACCCGAGTGCACTCGACGAGTCTGGTCAAAGTTTGACCGTTGACTAGATTTGACTTCAGTTTACCTTAGGGTTTTGGTCAAGCTGATTCAAGAGAGGTCAGGGAAGGGTAGAATGGTCTTCTACCCATTCTTTAGAGATGAGGACAAGTGAAAGTATTGATTAGAGGTGTTATCATTTTGATAGGAGGAGGCTAGGTCGGGTTATCGAGCACGAGAGGTTATCCGACATCATACGAGGTGAGTCTTCTCACTATACTTTACCTAGAGTGGTAATTATGTGTGACCGGAAGGTCTTATGTGCTATGATGAGTATGTGATGTATGTCGTTATATGATATGTATGTGCTATGTTATGTTATGAGTATTATGATATGGACCGGAAGGTCAACGGTGTATGGACCGGAAGGTCAAGATGATACGGACCGGAAGGTCTATTAGGTTATGGGACGGAAGTCCCCTGAGACACATGGACCGGAAGGTCTTATAGAGCTATAGCCTTGAGTGGCGTATGTGCGTATGTAGTATTTTGCGGAACTCACTAAGCATTTATGCTTACCGTGTTGTGTGATATGTGTTTCAGGTACTAGCGAGGATCGCGGGAAGGCGCCGGCATGATCAGTACACACTTATAGAGATTTATGTGTTTGATATTCTGGGACATGTTTTCTGAGATAACATTTGATACAATGAGTTCTGAAATTGTTTTTATGAAATTTATTATGCTTGGAAATGAAAAATTGTTTTGAAAATTTACGTTGTTACAAGATGCATCAACCTATCGTCATGTCTCGTATGTTTTATACTTTCTTTGGTCTCTGGGTATGTTTACCCTTAATTATGGTGTGGATTTTTGGTTCATAACAGGCTCAAGTTTGATAGTTGTCCTTGGTTATTGGAAGTTCAGATGTGGGGATAGCGTTGTTTAGTTTGTTAGGTGTGACTTTGAGCTACAAAGAATTTAATTTCGGGATGTTGTGTCGATAGGATTTGTAGTGGATTGATCCGACTAAATTTTTGGCATCATTTCTAGATTACCTTGGGATTCTTCTCGAGCTACTTACGTATTGGTGGAATCTGCTCAGTTTTAATCAAGGTGTGGGATCTGGTTTTGGTCGTTCATAAGGGTGTTTCTGATAACGGTTAAGGATCATCATTTCATTAGATCTACTGACACTTAACCCTTTGGGTATGGTTATGAGGAGGAATGAATGTAGTAGATATAGAGATGGTTATGTGCTTCCCTTTGGGGATGTATATTGTGGTGGCTCATCAAATATGCTCATGAGGAGGCGTGTATGAACTAAGTAAGATAGCATGAGAACACCTAGTCTGAATTTATTGGTACGGTTCATAATGGGTTGTAATCCTTGAGTTGGAGCAAGAATACAACCGCATATCCCATTTGTTGGTTGGGTCGTGGTTGGTTAACGTCGAAAGGAATGTTGAACGGGTTTTCTGCAAGATAGTGGATTTGATTGTGGAGTATCTTTAGACCTATTAGTCATTTGGTTGACACTCTTACGTCTTGGATCGTTAGTCTTTTGGGCATGGTTAGATGCAGTGCGTTGTTCTTGGGAGTCGGGAGACTTGGTGACCAGCTGGTTTGGATCGTGTGGTAAGGAAAAGTTATTTCGAATGGTGTGTTATTTGTGCACCGGAAGTCGCTGAATGAACGGTTGCTATGGTGGACCCCATCTTCTTGTGGGTTGTCTATTAGGAGTTAGATTTCAGTATGAGACGTTGGTTTTGAAATCTCGAATGATTTTTCAGGTGGAGGTACACCTGAGCTGATGAGGGATTTCGATGCAATGTGTGAATTCTTGGATTGACCATTCTTATGCCTATGGGGGCAGTGGGTTGGTGATGATTTGTCCGGAAGTCAAAAGTATATTTAAAGTTTTGGAGGGAATTAGTGATCATAATGTTTTGAGTATCTTTTTAGCATGCTTTGGTAGTGTCCCCAGTAAAAGATTGCGGGGGGGGGGGGGGAGGGGGGTGAGTTTGACGAATGGATGATCATTAGTCTTAGGGTAAGGTTTCTGAGAAAAGACTGATGGGTTCCCGGTTTCGGGAGGTATATTGACGAGGATGGTTGTGATTATAGTACTGAGACTCCCTATTTTGTGTAGTTTTCTTTGGAAGTTGGGTCATGCAGTTATGGAGAGAAAGAAAATTGTTGCGAAAATGTGTATTGGATGATGAGGCAGTAGTTCCCGTGGACGATATTCAGGTCGATAAGCGCTTAAACTATGTTGAGAGACCGATGGCTATTCTGGAGAGAAAAATGAAGATCCTGCGCAGCAAGGAGATGTCATTGGTAAAAGTTCGGTGGCAACATCGGAGAGGCTCCGAGTGGACCTGGGAGCCGAAGGTCGAAATGTGAGAGCATTATCCTGAGTTATTCGTCGCATCCAACTTCGAGGACGAAGTCTAGATTAACTGGGGGAGAATTGTAACACCCTGAAGTCAATGTAATTTAGATTTCAATCCTATGTTTGAGTTATATTGCATTTGACCCCCCCAAAAGTTGTAAAGATTGCATGTTTGGCCCTTAGTGGCATTGTGGTAAATATTTTACTTGAGGCTAGTACGTTGTGTGTACGAAGTGTACGCTGAGCGTACTAAGGCGGACCCTAGTACGCTCTTCGTACATCTCGTACACTTGGCGTACACACAGAATGTCCAAACCCTAAGTTTTTAGGTTTTGTCCCTATATAATCATCCTTAAATCCCATCCCCTCACTTCATTTCCATCCTCCATTACCTTGAGTGTTTCTTGCA